TAATAATAATATTAATATTAATAATATTAATATTAATAATAATAATAATAATAATAATAATAACAATAATAACAATAATAACAACAATAAAAATAATAATAATAATAATAATAATCATCATCATCATCATAATCATAATCATAATCATAATCATAATCATAATCATAATAATAATAATAATTAGAATAATAATAAGAATAATAATCATGTTGATAGTAAAATTTAGTTAACTTAAAATTAACTTTCTCCGGGAACACTCACAGATGTCTCTCACGAATTAATTAAGAAGAATAATTGCATAAAAATAAAGGACACAGAAGTTTATAATGGTTAAATTCTTTGCTTACATCCACTTGTGGATGCACTAGTACAATCAAGATTACAATCTCTCTTGGAGTAGTAACATAGTGCGTAAAAAACTAAATGAAAGAGGCATACTCTATTTATAGGCCTTTCACAAATCAGAGACCTCATCTCCACTCGTGCAGGGATCATCCCCTTATCCCCAAATCTCAGGATTTGACAATTGTAATTCCACGTTTGACCGAACGAATCGGGGCAGTTTCCCTTATCGGTTATTTGATTCCCAAATTCGAATCTGGACAGTTGTTGTAGCTTATCTCTTCCTGAAATGGCAGGATTTAATTTGAATCTGACCAGGCTGCTCTCTCGACGTCGTGAACTTCACGGCTTAGGTAGAGTTCTCGACGTATGCCCTCATTGTGCATGAACTCTTATCACCTTGAGGGCATTTTACGTGTAACAATTTCCTCGACGTCAGCCACCAACTCTCGACTGAGAACGTCTCAGCGTTTGGCAGTCAAAGGAGTAGTCGATTGATCGACTGTGGTGCAACAATTACCCCTAGCCTAGAATACCGCGTTGCGATGTTTCAGGCTATAAAGCGTCGAGAGTATTTACATGGCAATTTCTTCGCCTGCAGGTTATGACGGCTGCTTGTCAGTACAGTACCATCATTGCAGTGAGTTTCTCGGGTAGTGGAACAATCTTTGTCGATCATGTCAACAGTCGCATCTCCCATCCCCTGATGTCACGTGGTAGTCGAGGGAGAAATAGCAGTCGTTGGATCAGATTTCATCTCTCTCACTCTTTTCTCATCCGTTAGATTGCGTCTCTTCAGATTCACCATTAGATAGGGCCGGTTCAAATTCAATGGTCGAGATTCGAAGTCCTTTGGGCTTCCCTGAGACTTATGGGTTTCCATTCTTCGAGTATATATATTCCTCGAACAGGTCATGGACGTTTATTAGCAAATCACGCCATTACTTTGCCGGATTTCCTCCAGAACCTTCCCTTCTCTGACTTCGACTTTCGTGCTCATTCTCTGTGCATCATTCTCCTCCTCAATCTTCAAGCTTTCATACCATTTCTCAAGAATTAGTAAGTTGTTTTGGTCCTTTTACTCCTCGTAGTGTGATTATGAAACTGATTCTTGGGAAAAATAACATTTTGAAGAGAACAATATAATTAAAAAATGAACTTACTCAAACAATGTTGTTGCTTATGAATCTGGACTGATTCCCTTTGTGTTAGCACCCGCTTGGGTTTAGTCGCTCTCGTTGGGGGTTCTCAGACTCATTTCTGGGTTTTAGAGACCCTTATACGAGTTTTTCCTCATTTCTGGGTTTATGTGAATCTGATATTGTCAATCCCAAACTTTTGGATCATTTTGATCCAAACATGCCTCTATCACCTTCTCAAACTTTGTTTCTGATCTCTCGACCATTAGGCCCTAACTTGACCCCTTTTTGTTTATTTTCAGAACATGCTGCTAAAACAGGTTAGAGGTCGAGAGGTCTCCACATCCAGGGGTCATAGACGACCCTGAGGAAGCTGCGACGTCGAGCATGACATCGATCGATAACGGGGATTCTCTGCTCCACCAAGTAGAGGAATACGCCGAGGGGTCTCGACCTCTCGGCCAGACGAGCTCATTCTCCTCGATGATGAGGACGATGGTTTACGAGCCAACACCCTTGAAGATCATGGCTATGGGGTAGCGTCGACGAGTGGTATCTCAGGCATGGTGACTATCAAAAAATAAAGCCCCGAGTTGGCATGAGAGCGTTTCACGATGCAGGGATCGACGCTAATAATTTTTACTTAATTATACATACTCCTAACGATAGAGCTCATTACCCCCTGCCAACCATAAGACTGTATATACTAGATCCCTTTCCTTCGGACAAAGTGTTCCCTTTCACCCATTCATGAAAGCCTTCTGAAGCCTCCAAAGGATCTCTCCTGCATAGTTGTCACCCAATTTTTGGGTGACAATAAAATCCATGATCATTTTATGGAGAAAATTTTTGAACCTCGATAGAACCGTGGAGGAGTTTTTATATTGCTATGCCCTTAGGGGTTTTCCGGGTCAAAGGGGATTCTTTTATTTATGCTCCCACTCTAAATCCAAACCTTCAGTTCCCCTCATCGTCATCGATAAGACTTCTAGTTCCCATAGGTGGAAGCCTCAATTCTTTTTTCCTTGGTGGCAATTTTAATTCTCACCCACTCGATGGTGAGCATCCCTTAGGGGCCCAGACAGTATTCAGCAAATACTGTAGGTCTTCGCTTTGTTAGATTTTTATAGAATCTTCTCTGTTTGTCAAGCTATCTTTCACATTTTGTTTTTGAATACAGGTGAAGTTCCTTTTCGACCGAAGCATTCTTTGGTTGCTCTGGCATAGGTCGAGCAAATTCTGTCACTATCTGATTCCAGTTGTAGCTCTATCATTCTTAATACGTCGGAGAACCGTAGGCTGTACGGTCTGCTCGTCACTCTTGACCCTCCACGCCAACCAATCGTCCCCCATGTAGATCTTTTCCAAGGTAACCTAGAGGTGTAATTTGGTTCACCATAGTCGACATATTTAGATTCTAATTCCTTTCTTGTTTTGCAGTCGTGCCATCCACTATGAGGTACATTCTCCCCAGCAAATCGAAGAAGAATAAGGGAAGAGCCTCCAAGTCAGCGGGTCAGCAAGTGACTCAAGCTGCCCCTACTAGCAATGTCCCTAAAGTCCTTGACTGATCGAGGATTATGATAACTCCACCCTCCAAGAGACAAAGGGTGGATGAGTGCTAAGATCTTCCGGCGGTTGAAGGGTCTTCACGAAGCTCTCGACACCTGACAAAGGGAAAAACGCCGAAGTGGCCGCTAACCTGGCGGTTCCCCCTGCCCCTGATGAGCCCCTTGTGATGCCGGGGTCGAAGGTTAATGATCCTCAGTTCCACGTATCTGATGTGATCGACCACCACCTTAACAAGGCTCTCCAACTTCCTCCCCGCTTTAGCCTCCCCATCTAGGCCATCTACACGTACTTCCGTGAAGACTCCTGGAACAGGTTTGCAGGGATGGGTGTTTTGGAGCGCCAGCGCATAGCTGTGATGCGCTAAGTCTCGGTATGTTTTGCCTATTCACCCCTCGACTCATATCTTTAAATGTTTGGACTTCATATCTCAACATCCATACATTTTTTGTTGTCCAGGCTCTTGAGGTTACACTTTAAAACTATATAGAGCTTAAGAATCTACTGAAGCAGGACGCCTCATCCAAGGCTTTAAAGGAGGAACTGACAGCTCTCCGTGTCGCTTAAACTGAACTCTCTGGGGATCTGCAGGTCGAGAAAGCCAATGTCCAATCCCTTGAGGAGAGGACCGTCGAGGCGACAAATGAGAGCTTCCAAAAGGGTATCAGTGAAGGGCACTCAAAGGCAATCGAGGTATATCTCTCCTCTCCCAACTTCCAGTAGAAGAATAGGGAAGCGGTCGAGGAATTTAAGGCATATGAGGAGTTTCGCCGAGCGGTCAACGCTCAATTGGAGACTTTTAAGTCCTCCCTAGAGTTCAAGAACTTAGTTGACCAATAGGTAAAGTCGTTCACATCCTCAGCTGCTTTTGAGGGCCTTCCCACTCAGAGACTTAAGGCTTACAAAGCCTCCGTTGAGTTTGAAGACCTTCAATTATCCCTGATGAGGTCTGCTAGGAACCAAATTCTCGACCGTTTTCAAAGGAAACGCCCTGAGGTTAACTTATCTTTCCTCAACGGGTCTGACGAGGAGGAAGTAGAGGAGATGGAGGCCAGTCCATTAGGGGAGGTCAGGCCACTGCCAGGAGCTAGGGGCGTCGAGCAAGCACCAGGAGATGGGGCAACGCTTTGAAAGCATTTCTCTTTTTTTTTTTTTTTGGTGATGTAAGGCCATAAGGTCGAGACATTTGAATTTGCCATTTTGCAATGGCCATAAGACTGAGAAATATTTTTTCTTATATATATGCCTGACTTAATTTTTCCTAGTGTTTTGCGCATGAATGTCGTAGATATGTGATGTATGTTTTTTTTTTTGCTAAGTATGGCTAAGCCAGGGCTTACCACCTATGTAGACTTTGGGGTGGCAATAGCCTTGTTGCCGCCTCGTCAAAGATAAAGTTTTTAACTTGTCTTTGACGCAACATTGGTCGACGTTTTATTGATCGACTTAGATAATCATTTGAACAGAATTGTAGATCTTAAATATGTAGAATCAAGTCGAACGCGATGTAGTAATTGGTCGTGTATTATTTTACACAAATCAAATGAGTATAGAATTGAATCAGACTTATATTTATGTAGAATTTACAAGTCGACTTTTCAACCTGTAAAAAAGTAAAAAAGAAAACAGGGCATAAGAAAAATACCAAATCTAACTCTATAGTCGACCTTTTGCCCCTTTATTGGTAGTAGGTCTTCAATTGGTTTGCATTCCATGTGTGCTTGATGTCTTGACCGTTTAGTTATGTGAGATGATAGGACTCATTGGCTACGACCTCTTTTTTTCTGTAAGGACCTTCCCAAGTTAGCCTTAGGGCGCTAGAATTCTTGGGCTTAGTGTTTGGGTCACTACTCGCAGGACAAGGTCTCCCACTCTGAATCGCTTTTGGTTGACCTTCTGATTGTAATATCTAGTAGTCATAGCATGATACGCAGCGAGTCTTAACTGTGCGTCTATACGCTTTTCTTCTAATAGGTCGAGCTCTAAACCCATTCGCTCGGTGTTCTTATCCTCTTCATACCGTGTCACTCGGCTAGTTGGAACGGATATCTCGACCAGAAGGACCGCTTCAATCTTGTAGGCCATTGAGAAAGGAGTTTCCCCTGCGATAGTTCTACTAGTCATCTTGTACGCCAATAAGACCTTTGGCAACTCATCGGCCTATTTTCCTTTATAATTGTCGAGCCGTTACTTCAGTGTAACCTTTATAATTTTATTGACCGTCTCAACCTGTCCGTTGGACTGGGGGTATATTATAGAGGAAAAGTTCTTGTGGATTCCCAATAATTCATAGAACTGGTTAGTGTACAAACTTCATATGTTTCCCGTTATCTGACACAGGAGAATGTGGTACACCAAATCAGCAGACTATGTTGTTCCATATGAAGTTTGTACAGTTTTCCTCTGATATAGTTGTTAGTAGCTCAGCCTCAACCCACTTCGTAAAGTAGTCGACTGCTACAATGATGAATTTATACCCCCAGGGGTTCTATGTAATGGGCCAATTATATCAATTCCCCATTTGGCAAAAGGCCAAGGAGAAACTATCGACATAAGGTCCTCTGAATGCAGTTGAGGGATGAGGGCGTACCATTGGTAGCTCTCGCATTTCTTAGCATACTCGGCTGCATCCTTTTTTAGATTGGGCCAGTAGTAACCCTACCACAGGATTTTATAGGCTAAGGACTGCCCCATGTGTGATTTCTGTAAATCCCATCATGTATCTCAGAAAGAACCTTTTTCACTTCTTCTTCGTCAAGGCACCTGAGCAGGAGCGTCAAGTAACCTCTTTAGTAAAGGATATTGTCTTGAATAATGTACCTCGACGATTGATTCCATGACTTTTACTTGTTGCTTGTCCTCTGGAAGTTCACCGTCGACTAGATATTTGATGATTGGGTCTTTCCAGCTCGGTTGACGGTATATTGGCCTGACTTCAGGTTTTCCCTTGATGGAAGGGGCTTTTAGAACTTCTATGGGTACCAGTTTTAACAGCTCGGCGTCATTTAAGGTGTCTAGCCTGACAAGGGTGTCAGCATTGCTATTTTTTGTCCTTGACACTTGCTGTATATCATAGGCCGTGAACTTTCCCAAGGCCTCCTTGACCTTATCAAGGTAGGCTACCATTCTTCCGTCCCTGGTTTGATATTGATCTTTTACTTGATTTACAACCAACTGCGAATCACTGAAGATGTCTATGGCCTCCACTTTCAAGTGTTCTGCCAACCGGAGGCCAACCAATAGTGCTTCATACTCGGCCTCGTTATTGGATGCGAAAAATTCAAATCTGACTGCTGACGTTATTTTGAAGCCCTCTGGGGTATGCAACACCAATTCTGCTCCACTGCCATTATCATTGGAGCTCCCGTCAACGTAGAGTTTCCACATGGGTGGTTCGTTGATGACTTCTACTTCTTCATCTGACAGTCCTGTGAATTTTACCATAAAGTCAGCCAGTGCTTGACCCTTAATGGCAACCCGCGGCTTGTAGTCAATGTCGAACTGGCTGAGCTCTATGGACCATTTAAGGAGTCTTCCAGAAGCATCGGGCATTTGTAATACCTGCCTAAAAAGATGGTTTGTCAAGACCTGTATGGTATGGGCCTGGAAATATTGACGCAGTTTTCTTGATCTCACCACAAATGCAAGGACGAGCTTCTCCATCTACGGATATCTTGTCTCTGCGTTGAAGATGTGCTTGCTAGTGTAGTACACTTGCAGTTGTATCTTCTTCCCTTTGCGAACCAACACTGAACTTACGGTGTGTTCTGAAACCGCTAGATGTAGGTTGAGCACTTCTCCGGCCATAGGTTTGGACAGTAGGGGTGGTTTTTTGAGATGTTACTTCAATTGTCAAAACGCGTGTTCGTATTCCTCTGTCCATTGAAATGACTTGCCTCCTCTAAGGGTATCAAAGAACAATATGCGCTTATATGTAGATTTTGAGATAAATCTGTTAAGTCTTTTGAACCACATTTGGTTTTAAAAATACCTTAAAACTACAATAAAAATACTCTAAAAATACCCTAAAATACCATAAAAATACCCTAAAAATACACTAAAAATACCTCAAAATACCAGAAAAATATCATAAAAATACTCTAGGAATACCATAAAAATACCCTAAAAATAGCATAAAAATGCCCAAAAATACCCTAAAAATACTTTGAAAATACCTTTAAAATACCATAAAAATACACTAGAAATACCCAAGAAATAACATAAAATACCCTAAAAATTCCATAAAAATACACTATAAATACCATAAAAATACCTTTAAAATAACATAATAATACCATAAAAGTACCCTTAAAAAACCCAAAAAATACAATAAAAATACCCTAGAAATACCCTAAAAATAAAAAAAACCATAAAAACCCATAAAAATAAAATAAAAACCTAAAAAATGCACTAAAAATATGAAAAAAATACCATAGAAATACCATAAAAATACCCTAGAAATACCCTAGAAATACCATAAAAATACCCTAAAATACCCTAAAAATACCATAAAAATACCATAAAAATACCATAAAAACCCTAAAACTACCTTGAAAATACCTTGAAAATACAATAAAAATACCCATAAAAGTAACCATAAAATACCATAAAAATACCCTTAAAATACCATAATAATGTCATAAAAATACCCTAAAAATACCATAAAATACCCTAAAAATACCATAAAAATGCCCTAAAAATTCACTAAAAATACAATAAAAATACGATAATACTACCATAAAAATAACATAAAAATACCACAAAAATACACTAAAAATATCATAAAAATACCCTAAAAATACCATAAAATACCCTAAAAATACCATAAAATGCCCTAAAAATGCCCTAAAATACCCTAAAATACCTTTCAAATACCATAAAAATATCCTAGAAATACCCAAAAAGTACCATAAAAATACGATAAAAATACCATAAAAATACTCTAAAAAAACCATAAAAATACCAAAAAAATCCTAAAAATACCAAAAAAAATACCTTAAAATGAAATAAAAGTACCATAAAAATGCCCTAAAAATACCATAAAAATACCTTTAAAATACCCTAAAATTTTCATAAAAATACACTAAAAATTCCCTTAAAATACCCTAAAAATACTATCAAGATACCTAAAAAATACCATAAAAATACCATAAACACCCTAAAAATACAATAAAAATACCAAAAAGTACCCTAAAGTACCATTAAAAATTTCATAAAAATACCCTAAAAATACCATAAAAATACCACAAACATACCATAAAAATACCATAAAAATACCCTAAGAATACCATAAAAATACCATAAAAATACCATAAAAATACCGTAAAAATTCCCTTAAAATACCATAAAAATACCATAAAAACACCTTAAAATACCATAAAAATACAATAAAAATACCCTAAATATATCATAAAAATAAGATAAAAATACCCTACAAATACCATAAAAATAACATAAAAACACCCTAAAAATACCATAAAAATACCCTAAAAATTCCCTAAAAATACACTTCAAATACCATAAAAACCCTAAACATACAATAGAAATACCCTAAGAAGACCATAAAAATACCTGAAAAATACCATAAAGATACCCTAAAAATAACATAAAATTGCCATTAAAATACCATAAAAATACACTAAAAACACCCTAAAAAAGCATAAAAATACCCTAAAAATGCCATAAAAATATCATAAAAATACCCTAAAAATAATATAAAATTCCCTAAAAATACCATTAAAATGCCCTAAAATACCTTAAAAATATCATAAAAATACGCAAAAAAAACCCGTAAAAATACCTTTAAAATACCATGAAAATACCATAAAATACCCTAAAATACCCTAAAATACCATAAAAACACCCTGAAAATACCATAAAAATACCATAAAAATAGCCTAAAAATTCCATAAAAATACACTATAAATACCATAAAAATTCAATAAACAAGGATAATAATGCCATAAAAATACCCTAAAAATATAATAAAAATACCCTAAGAATACCCTAAAAATACCATAAAAATACCCTAAAATATCATAAAAATACCATAAAAATACACTAAAAATACCATAAAAATACCATAAAAATACCCTGAAATACCATAAAAATGCCCTAAAAATATCATAAAAATACCCTAAAAATACAATAAACATAGCCTAAAACACACTAAAAATACAATAAAAATGCGATAAAAATACCCTAACAATTCCCTAAAAATACCATAGAAATACAATAAAAATGCCCCAAAATACCAGAAAATACGCTAAAAATACCATAAAATACATTAAAAATACCACAAACATACCATAAAAATACCATAAAACTATCATAAAAAACTGAAAAATACCATAAAAATATCATAAAAATATAAAAAAATACCCTAAAAATACCATAAAATACCCTTAAAATACCATAAAAATACCCTTAAAATTCCATTAAAATACCCTTAAAATATCATAAAAATACCATGAAAATACCCTAAAAATATCATTAAAATACCATTAAAATACCCTAAAAATACCATAAAAACACCCTAGAAATACCATAAAAAATGCCCTAAAAATTCACTAAAAATACAATAAAAATAAGATAAAAATACATTCACTAAAAATACAATAAAAATAAGATAATAATACCATAAAATTACCACACAGTACCCTAAAAATATCATGCAAATATAATAAAAATACCCTAAAAATACACTAAAAATACCATTAAAATACCCTAAAAATACCCTAAAATACACTTAAAATACCATAAAAATACCCTAAAAATATCATAAAAATGCCCTAGAAATACCATAAAAATACCCTAAAATACCATAAAAATGCCCTAAAAATACCCTAAAAGTACTTTAAAAATACCTTTAAAATACCATAAATACCATAAAAATACCCTAGAAATACCCTAAAAATAACATAAAAATACCTAAAAATTCCATCAAAATACCATAAAAATAACATAAAAATACCCTAAAAATTCCATAAAAATACACTATAAATACCATAATAATACCATAATAATACCATAATAATACCATAAAAATACCCTAAAATACCCTAAAAATACCATAAAAATTCCCTAAAAATACCATAAAAATACCCTACAAATACCTTTAAAAT